CAGAATATGCCACTTCTTTTCCTTCAAAAGCTTGTGAGTTGCTTTTGCAGTGTGTTTTGGATCATTGTCCATCTGTACTGTGAAGCGCCGTCCAGTCAACTTTGTTGCATTTGGCTGACAGTATATCTCTGAACACTGCAGAATTAATTCGGCTGCTTCTGTCTCCTGTCACATCATCAATAAACACCAATGAGTCAGTGCCACTGGAAGCTATGCATGCCCATGCCATCACACTGCCTCCACCATGTTTTACAGATGTGTGCTTTGGATCATGAGCTGTTCAAGCCTCCCCACTTTTTTCTTCCTGTCATTCTGGTACAGATTAATCTTGGTTTTTCATTCGTCCAAAGAATGCTTTTCCAGAACTGGTCTGGCTTTTTTAGTTTTTTTTTTGCAAAGTCTAATCTGGCCTCTATTCTTCGGGCTGATGAATGGTTTGCACCTTGTGGTGAACCGTCTGTATTATTTACTCTCGTGAAGTCTTCGCTTGATTGTAGACTTTGACAATGATACATATGCCCACCTCCTGGAGTGTCCTTAATTTGTCTGGATGTTGTGAATGGGTTTTTCTGTACCATAGAGTGGATCCTGCAATCATCCACCACTGTTTTCTGCCGTGGATGTCCATGCCTTTTTGCTGAGCTCAGATTGATTTGTTTTGTTTTTGAAGCCTTACAATGGCTTGTTTCTCTTGCATGGCCAGCTCCTTTGAACACATTATGTAGGTTCACAGCAATAGATTCCAAATACCACACTTAGAAACAACTCCAGACCTTTTACCTGCTTAATTGCTGAAGAAATAACAAAAGGAGTAGCCCACACCTGGCCATGAAACAGATTTTGGTTCACTTGTCCAATTACCTTTGGGCCCTTGAAAAAAAAAAAGGGTGGTTGGCTACTCTTCAGAGCTGTAAGTCCTAAACCCTTCCTCCAATTTGGATGGACATACCCTCAAATTAAACATGAGAGTGTGCACTTTATGCCCCTATACATTATATAACTAGAGCTTGAATATGTTTTGGTAAATACCACACACACACCCCTTGAACTGGATGGATTTTAGTCAACCTTACCAACTATATAAAACTTAAAAAAAAAAAAAAAAAAAAAAAACTTTTAGATCTCTCTCAGAAGCACAAATTACAGGGATTTGGAAAATGTTAGAGAATAAAGATTAAAAAGTAGAACTATAGGCAAAACATTTTTTTTCACTTTGGATAGAGCAAAGGAGGGTTATAATCCCTGTCACTTTTTTTGCCCATAGGAGATTTCCTTTCACTTCCTGTCCCATTGCCAAACAGGAAGTGAGATGAAATCCCTGATAATTAAGGGAATTCCTCCAGCAGTTCACCAGAACTTGTGTCTCCATTGGAAAATATCCCCTTTATTAATTTCCTGGGACAGCCCAAAATTTGGGATTTTATTTTTACTTTCCCTTGCATTGATAATGATAAGCAGGACAAAGAGGGTGAATCTCCCAAACAGGGGCACAGACAGCAATATAAACCCAACAGGTGTTCTCCATTCTATCCAAAACTAAAAAAAAAAAAAAAGTTTTACCTTTAGATATACTTTTTGACATTTTTTCCACAAGTGGAAAAAATCCCAAAATGTTCTTAAACTAATGCATAGTGTATTTTTGCCAGCAAAAATACACTATACATTTTGTTAAAAAAAGTAGACCTCCTATCATGAGTGATTTTTTTTTTTTTGTCATTGCATTGAAATTGCAAGGTTTTTTTTTTAGAAATAAATCAGAACTCCGGCCATAAACAAGATAAAAGCTAACGGTTCATTTTCCCTTGCTGCTGGATGTCCTCAGTGTGATAGCCAGAAATATTTAACTTGCTTACTGTGATCCCAGGTTGTCCTGGACCTGCCCCAGTCTATTATTGAACAGAGAAAGGAGAAGCAGCATTTTTGTTTTGGATAGCTTAGGGAATTGTGAAAAAAAAAAAAAAAAAAAAAAAAACACACATTTGATGGGCTATTTAAACCACCAATAGGGAGTTTTCCCTTCACTTCTTATCCCTACAATAGACAGTTGTAATTGGAGCAAGTGTTTTCGCAGGGACATTTCCTCTCTCTTCCCGCTTTAGTGACAACTTAACATTCTGGATTTTATTTTCCATTGTACTGGTGACAACTGTTACCAGAAAGCAATTAAACCTGATGACAGGTTCACACAGTGTATGGGCCAGCTTAAGTTTTTATGGTCATGTGTCCTAAATTTTTAGTAGCCTATTAATTCACGTAAATTGTGAAACATGGGTTCTCCAGAATACTATACTTGCTGCATGAGTAATAGAAATAGAGCTCCAGTCAAAAAACATTCTTCAGTTTTAGATTGAGTTGGGTTAGTACATCTGTCAGATTTTCATTGCTTGCTGGGGCCCGGTTGAGATTTTCCCTCATATCCTGTCCCGGTCATAGTGAAAAATATGGAGGCTGCCATTGCTGACCCCTAAAAATGCTTGTTGCCCAGCTGTCATGCTAGTCAAAGTGTATTTCTACCTGAGTGAGAGTGGGTTAAGGCAGGAACCACCATTAAAATCTAAGCTTAAACCAAGCTGGACCAAATTAACTATTTAATGCATTAACAGGTGTGCTTGCTGGGCATGCTGTATTAACTATATGTAGCTTCAGCTACATACAGCCATTCATGGAAAACTTTGTGTTCAGTGAATAAATACAAAGCTTCCTCTGATTGGTTGAGGCAAATGACATCACAATCTCTACCTCAGCCAAGATGCTACATACAGCTTATACAGAATGCCCATCTACCTGTCAAACAAACTATTTAAAAGAAAAAAAAAACGAACATTAAAACGTGGAGCTAGGCTTTAAGTTTTTCTACTACCTGGGGCTTAGAGAGATTTACCCTTACTTTCTGTCTGGCGAAACTGTCAGGACAGAAAGGAACCCCTGGTAGAAGTAGAAGCTAGACAGGAGTTCTAGTTTTTACCCACTCTATCTAAAACTATAAACTATTTTTTGGATTGACATACACTTTTATACGGAGACAAATACCTGAGACAATATGTGGATCAGGACATCTGACTTTCTACCCTCTATGGTTCAGGTAAGGTGACCATCACCTAGTTTTGTAGGTAATATTTGGTTCAAGCCACTTCATTCTTAGGTCTCTCAGGACCTTTAGGATCCATAGGTTAAATGGTACTTCCCCTTTAGAAATTGTATTACTACAAGTTTGGTTGTTTTTCCTTCTTACACAATTAATGAAAGGATAGATTTTGGAACCCATGGATCCCTAAGGGGGGTAAGTGACTGGGTAACCTGCTTCATAGGATGCCTGCCATATCTATCAATGCCAGTCAATGTAATTCTTTAGTATACTGTAGGTTTCCTTTCGTTCTCTATCATATGAGAATAACTATTGTACTGACAACAGAGCAATTTCCCAAAAAGGTAATGTTTTGGAAGCCAATAACCAGCGCTTAATGCTGATGGACGAGTCCAATCACTGTTACAGGAGTTATGAATAAATTTGTATTTCCCATACCCAGCACAGCTGAAGAAATGGATCTGCCGACTGCCCTATAGCAGTTTTCTGTGCAGAATCATATAATTAAATATCTATCTATCTCCATCCCCATCCTACCCGCTCGGTCATTGGCTGCTGTAGATGTCGATCACCAGGTCCCAGCCAGCAATTCATGGCTGGGATTTGGTGATCAGAAAAGCAACTGACAGGAGAAAGATCTATGAGTGTAAACAACACAGATCTCTCTGACAGCAGGGATGTGCTGGTTTTGATCCCCCTGCAAAGCTGGGATATAAAAACAAGCACATCCCCCAGTAAAATAATAACACTCCCTAATGCCCTCTTAACCCTTTGATTGCCCCAGATGTTAACCCTTTATTGTTTTTATTAGCACTGATCACTATAGTAGTGTCACTGGAGATGTCACGCTATAAGTCACTGATTGCCGCCACTACAAGTATAAAAAAAAAAATAAAATTCCAGAATATATACAATGTTTGTAGACGCTATAACTTTCACACAAACCAATTAATATACGCTTATTGCAATTTTTTTTTTTTCTTCAATAGACATGCAGCAGAATACATTTTGCCCTAAATTTATGAAGAAATGTTACTTTTCTATTGGATATGTTTTACAGCAAAAGTAAAAAATGTTTTGTTTATAGCACATAAAAATAAAAAAACCACCACCATATAAAAGCTCTATTTGTGTGTACACAAATTAAATTTTATATTTTTTTTCAGTGTTGCATGACCGCACAATTGTCAGTTAAAAGTAGCACAGCACTGAATAACAAAACATGGCCTGATCAGGATAGGGGGTTAAATCTTCTGGTGGTCAAGTGGGTGTGAGTAGTGTAGGACTTTACAGATAAAAACCATGTGGTCTGATAGTCTCCCATTCTGATGTTTCTTTGTAAACTTATGTCTAAAAATTACTGCAATCTTGAGCCCACTGGGTCTAACAACTGGGAAGATTAACGATCGAACGCCTGAGGCATAAAATGTGATAGTGCCACCAATGCCAAGAGCACTTAAACTGATATGGTCCCCACGCAGCTATAGTTTCTCTACGGTCACAGAAAATCATTCATCCGTATGACAGTATACTGATGGAGTGTTTTCTAGATCTGAAAAATTCAATCCAATATTGAACTTTCAACTGTTTTATTGTGCTTAGCCAATTCCATAACATACAATCTATCCTCTATTTTGTAATATACAGTTATTTAATAGAAAACACATTCTCATTAAGCACAGATTTGTTCTATTATTAGAAAGAAAATACAAGACGTTTACTATAAAAGTCAGATAATCCTCCAGTCAGAAAATGTTACAGTAAAACATACAAAGCACGGTTATCCAACTCCATTCTATAGAGTAGACATCACATGGGCTTCACAGTGATTAGTATTTGCTTAAACTATCACTCTGTTTAGTAACAAAAGGTGTCACGGTCATATGTCCTAGAATCATCCTCTGTGGTTCTCTCATCACTGTGCATGTACTAGGGCACCAGCTCCTTGGCCATAGCCAAACCCTTTAGGTCCAAAATTCTTTGCATAGCACGCTAGAAGAAAAAAAAAAAAAAAAAAGAATGTAAAATAAATACGTCGGATAAACACTTTATTAAAAAATTCACATATGTAGCCAAAAGAATACGGTACCCATCAAGTTTTAAAATGTGTCCCACCATACACTCAGGAACCACTTAAGTGAGGGTAAGATGTTCACTAAAATCACAGATGCTTGGAACAGACCAGTGCTGGTCACAGATTGATTGAATTCCATCTGGTTCAGAAAGGACTGCACGAAATACGATCCACCTATGGGCAGGCTGGTTGTACTAAAATTGATCCACCAACTGACTTCAGTACAACCATCCTGCTGTATTTTTTTCATGCAATCACTGCCGGCGGCTATATCCGCTAGTAGTGATTATTGTGTTCATCCAGCTGGGAGCCTTCCCTGCTGGCAGAACACAAAAGAGCTGCAGGAGAGATTCCCCCCACCAACACGGACTGTGTTGTTGATGAAGAAAGGAAAGAAAGATGTATAATCTATGGCTTGCTTTCCAGAGATAATGAATCAATCAACAGCAAATTAATTTAAAGATGCCTGTAAGAATGCTTGGTCTATGCTTAGAATAGAGATATAGATAGATAGATAGATAGATAGATGTAAAAGGTGAAAAATTTTTACACCTATATATCTATCTATCCATCCAAGTTGCAAAAATTCTCTTTACTTCAAATGTATCTTTATACAAAAATTAGCACTGATTTTTGTATGAAGATGCACTTGAAGTAAAGAATTTTTGCAACTTGAAGATATGGTTCTCATTTTTTTTGGGATGTCTGATATGGGTGGATCCTCAATGGATAAGATTTTGGTTATAACAAACAGGAGTTACCAGTTTCAATCTTTGATATATTATATTTATTATATTATAGGAAGGGGTGCACCCTTTGGGAAACTTGGTCTTTTCTGCCATCAGTCTTGAGCTTTAGTTCTCACTAAAGGCTAGGCTTGTGATTGGTTTTCAGGGGAAAAAACATAACACTCAAACTATGTACAGTTTTCATTTTAAAAGATAAATTCACCTTTTGAACATAACAAATGCCCTGGTTTTTGAAGGTACAAAAATAGTGAATTTGTTTCTCAGGAGCTTGCAGAGTATTGCACCCAAGATCAGTGGATAATAGGTTTAGCAAGTTGCTGCACAAGCCTGACATTGCACTCTTCTGCTTTTACCTTGTATGGGCCTTCTGTTTGAAAGCTGTAGGAAGTGTCAAACTACAGGAGTTCTCACCAGTGCCCTCGCAGTTATTATTATACAGTATTTTATAAAGCACCAACAGTCCGCTCAGCTCGTACATTATAATGGGAGACAATACATGAGACAGTACAATAATACAATGCGATACACAAGGGGTTCGAGGGCCCTGCTCCTTGGAGCTTACAATCTAGGAGGGAGGGGATAGTGGTACAGGAGGAAAAGCTGTGGGGGGATGGAGTGGTAGGAAGAGTGGAGGAGATCAGCAAGTAGCAGGGGGCGGGGTAGGCTTCCCTGAAGAGGAGTTCATGCAGAACTATAAGCCGCTTGCCACAGCGTCAAACAGTAATTGCAGTTTAGTCACATATTCCTCTGAATGTATCATGTAGCTGTGAGGGAGGAGCTCCGCACAGCCGTGTTTTTTTTTTTTTTTTTTAAATCTGACAATGGGTGGGTGCCCACTGTCACTTGGGGGATACTGGAGCAGGTTACCTAAATATGGGTGAAAAATGCTCCAAAAAGGTGAACTTAGAGTAGGCATTATATTACTACTACTTTAAAGGCCAAACTATAAACAGGTTTACCTATAGGTACAGTAAATGTCGCTCAGGTTTACCTATAGGTACAGTAAATTTCTCCCAAACGTGCACCGTAGGAGCAGCCGGTGACATCACATTTAGAGCTCTGTGCTGTGGGACTGATGTCTTTGCAGCTCAGCCATTCAAACGGCTGAAGCTCGTGTACTCAGAAGGAAGACCAGGTGAAGATGAAAGCCCTGTCAGAGGTGACAGCATGCCACTGGAGGGCTTCAATTTAAGGCAAGTCTTTCATAATGTACTAGTATGCACCCCATACTAGGACATTATGACACTATTCTGATGGCCCAATTTTTTTTTTTTTTTTTTTGCGCTTTACTACCGCTTGGACACTTGTGTCTACAGGTGAGATTTACTATAAGCTTGCCTGTAGGTGCAAGAAATCTCTCCTAAACGTACAGCGTTTTGGGGATATTCACCTTTTCTCTGGCCGGTGGCACTCTAAAGGGGCAGAACACTCATGCTGGCCCTTGAGAGTGCTGTGCGGTAGGTGTGATGTCATTGAGGCTCAACCATTGAAACGGCTGGATTATGCTCTTAACCTGCAGGGAAAATTATGTTTTGAATTTTTTTCTATAAAGAATTTGCTACTGCTTTAAAGCTGTAGTTTTTTTTTTTTAATACATCACCAAGCACATTAGTAATGGTGTGTATATCCCATTATCTGCAGGCAGCTGCTTTTGCTAAAAAATCTTTCACTCCATGCCTCCTCCTGAGTGGCTGTCTTCTGGCACTTCCAAGGTTAACAGCAGCTGCTGCTACTAAAAGTTGGACTTGACCCCTTCTGCCCTCTTTGCCATTCACAGAACTCCTACTAATATTGTCCCACAATGCATCGCATTCTTTGAATGAAGGAGGAGAAGTTGAATGACAGATCACCCCTGCCCATTCACAGAACCTGGAGTACTGTGAGATGATAGCAGAAGGAGTTTTGTGAATGGCCGAGAAGGCAGAAGGGGGCAAGCAAACAGTGCAACCTTTCTCTGTAGCAGCTGCTGCTGTTAAAGTATATAAAAAAAAAACGCAAAAACTTTAGTTCTTATTGACATCAGTCTCCAAGTTTGTGGGATTCACCCTATTTGTCCTCTTTTTGTTATCTTCGAAAGTGAAAGAAAATCCCACGGTTTGGGGGGTCTCCAGAACAGCAATAGGGTTGAAATCTTCAAAATGGGGACAAGAGTTCTGGTGACAACCAAAGACTCCTTCAGTTTGGAGAGATTTCCTCTCACTTCCTGTTTTGGCTACAGGACAGGAAGTGAGGGACAATCTTCCCAATGGGAAAAAGATGGCAAATAAAAACCTGACAGGTGTTCTAACCCTCCCTTACTCTAATCAAAAAGAAAAAAAACTTTTACCCTTAAAGTGTTACTAAACCCACAACAGTAAAATCAGTCTGTATATGCAGTAAAGCATGCTTGTTATACTCACTTTAGAACCTAAGGGGTTAATCCTCTACATTGTGCAAAACAAAAAGGCCATTTGATCCTGTTTTCTCTGCTCCTCCTCTTGTTCACATGTCCACATCTTATCTCCTGATAAGACAGACTGAACCAGTAGCCATTCTGCACATGCTTAGTTTAGAGTGTATTGCTAGAGAGGTTTTGTTTTTCTTAGGAGTGTGCATGTGGTCAGCACAAAGCCAATCAGCACTGTCCAGACAGAGGTCAGGGGTTTTGCATCCCCCTAGAGCAGAAAGAAAACTCCTCCTACAAGCTTTAACCAGTGCTCTGCTGAATACTGATAGAAGTCACAAGACTGCTCTAACTGCTGATGAGAAAAAAGGTATTTAGAAGTGTATATTTACTAAAACAATTGCACTTCCATGTTCTGTGTACTGTGGGAGACCGGATATAGTGAATGCAGGGTCCTGGCATTAGTAACACTTTAATTTACTTTCACTTAATGTTACAGCATTGGAACACAGTCGTTTAGGATAGTATGCTTCAGGAGGCACTGAACGAATGTGTTTGGTGCTGTATAAAAAAAATATAATATATATATATATATATATATAATATATATATATATATATATATATATATATATATATATATATATATATATATATATATATATATATATATAAAGCAAAAACAGAGAGAACTGGTCCTCAGGGTTTTTGTCATATGCTTCAAAAAAGTCTGTTAGGGGGTGCTATACTATATGTACTCAACTAATCAAGTGTTGAAAATACTATACATATATGAACACAAAAAACAGTACAGTCTTGGGATGCTGTATGTAATTCAGACCATATCTACTGTAATAATCACAGTGACTTTCACAAATGGACTGCTCAAGATGGAGACTTATAATGCAAAGATACAAGAGTGTCAGTTCCTGCTAAGCTTTGTAAATGGTCATTGGTGCAATCATGACACTGACAAGTTAGAAGTCTATTTTATGGGATTCTGTCCTTCATGTAAGAGGCTACTGTACAAGTCTTTACACAATGGATGTGTACTGTACTTAGTGTATGTCCTGTGTATTTCACACATCTTCCAAGGAAGTTATTTTCCGTTAATATTCTTGGTTTTCCCATCTAGAAATATCCTGCTATTTTACAATGGTTTCACGTTGTAAACAGAATAGGAGGCTACTTTTCAGGAAGCTGGAAATGTAACGGCACAATATTTATTACATTTACCTTTAGGATATATTTTAGCCTTCACTTTTATATGCTGCAATGTGTTACTTGAATATATTTTTTTTTCTTTCACCAAGGCTTGTATTTATTGTCTGCCTATCAATAAATCACAGCAACCATTCTCCAGACATGCATTTCCTGATATTGGCCCTGGCCTGTCTTTACCTTGTTATTTTCCAATTTCCTGCATTTTGCAGCTGGCTCCCTTTTCTATTTTAAAGGCCACATTACATCAAGAACATTCTGGCATACACCAGCCAGTATTTGTCGTTCCTTACCTTTGCAGTATATTTCTCCCTCTTTTTCAGTCAGAGTGGTGGATTCCAGACTCTTGCCACACTTTGCACATCTGAAGCAATTCTTATGCCATGCCTGCAGAAAGGAGACCCTGTTTAATATATTCTGAGAATATTAAAAACTTACATATTCATTTATTGAAGAGCTCAGCTATTTTTGCCTTGAGGAGTTTAAAATAGAGCTTACAAAAAGCGACACTTGGAAGGGGGAGAAAAAAAAAACAAAAAAAACACAAACCTGAATACAGCACTGCAAAATTAAGAAAAAAAAACAAACAAAAAAAAACACAAAAAAAAAACACTTCTCTGGTTGGTTTATAAGCACATACATGACTTTCACCAGTGAATGTTTACTCCCTTATCAAACAGAATAAAATAGTCATTGAATGGGGCTCTCACTGGTGGACAATATACCATTACATCTTTTAATAAATATAAACTGATGTAATGGTATAGGTCTCATTCACATGGATGTAATATATCCATACAGATTATTGCACATCTGTATACAGCTGCCTATAACAGTGAAAATGTTCCGCTGTGTATAGTGTAGAGAAAAAGAAAAACAGCACACAGGGCTGCTATTTTACACTGTATGCATATAAAGGTTTGCGCCAATGTTCACAAGCAGACAAAAGCCTGATTGACGTGTCAATAATTTGTAATCGGCATCGCCTGTGCCATTGAATAAACGCTGTTGGTCCAAATAAGTCATTGATGTGCTGCAAGCACATGCTCTGAAAGAAACTTAGGTAGTCATTCATTAATGGCTAAGGTCATTCTGCAGATGCGCCACTGACGCATCAGTGACTTATTCAGACCATAAGCGCTGCCGATTACACAATGCTGATTGTCTTGTTGACCATGAGCAGTTACCAATAGGGTCCCTGTACACTGCCTGCATGTAAACATTGCAGAAATATTACATGCATGAACAGCAAATATACAGGATCTCTCTACTGGAAAGACCCTGCATATTTTGGATAGGTCTGTGTGAATGAGCCTATAGTGTCCACCAATGACATCTCCCACTTGAGGGATATTTTGTTACAGCAGTGTAAATTGGTTTTGTTTTAAAAGATTTTTTATTTCCAGTGTACATACTATACAAACCTGCATGCTAATGCATGATGATCTCAACATTAGTTCTACAAATGGGGCAGTCAGTCATCTTTTTCAAACCCACACAGTAAACACTACTATGTCCTTATTGCCACCTTTGTAGACTACTTTTTTTTTTTTTTTTACACAATAGCCATTACTACTCATAACTTCCAGTGCTTTACGGTTGTGCTGCACGGTTATTCCAAAAATAAAGGTTATTAGCCCTACCCAGTTCGCCTCTAAACTACAGAACACAGTCCTGACCTCCTTCCTATCCCAGGGTGACAATGATCCATTGCCATAAATTCAGTATGGCGAGTGAGCATTGTTACCCTAAGAAAGGAAATGTGTTACTAGTGGGATAATCAGATGAAAATAAGGGGGGAAAAAAAAAAAAAAAAAAGCATGAATACAGAACTAATACAGTCAGCACAACTAAGGACTGGTAAGCTGCAATATATTACTTGTTTTTCTTGGGATTAGATCCATTTTAACTTAATGTTTATTCACATCTTTGACATGCATTTAATTGTCTGGAGAGCACATTTACAAAACCCAGTGTATGAATATGTTAAAATGTCTTCTATTCAGGTCTTACTTTACAGCTGAACCTAATAGTTGTTAAGCAATCTTCCCCACCCTACTACCATGGCCATGCTGCAATCTTTGGTGCACTTCAAATCTTGTAGCTTGAAGTTCCAAGCTACAGTGCTGCACTAGCCACTCAATGGAGTGATACCAGGGCGATACTGCCAACAAGGCCACTGATGAGAGGGTACCACTAGTCCTCCTGTATGGGGTCCAGGCCAGCAGGGTAGCCCAGGCAGCAGGGGGAATCAGATGTGGGCAGGGAGGGTGATCGGTGTGGTGGGGGGTGGGAGCAATTACTGGAACAAATCCACTATATGGCTCCTCTTCCCCCCCTGTTGCCCGAGCTCACCTGTGTGCCCCCTTCCCCCAGGAAGCACTGCCAGCTTCCCTCCTCTCCCTACCTCCAGTCGGCTGCAGCAGGCACATGGTGGATGTTTCAGGATGGAGAGTGGGGTGAGTGGCAGGTACATATGACATTTATCAGCTCCTTCCTTTCCTGAACATAATGAGTGATAGGAACAATCACTCATTGTATTGTTTGATAACTGATGAATAGTAAAGTGTGTTTACTATGCTTCAGTTTATGAATAAACAGGAGCCTCTGTACAGAGTGCTTTCTGTTAATTCATTGTCCAGTTCAGATGAGGCTGCAGAGAAGGGAACCGAGAAAATTATATACACGGTCTTTGTTTGGGGCTGTACACTTACATCCACACGCCTGTCAAATTAGGGCCTATGGCTGTGTTCGTACAGCTGCTGCATCCCCATAGTATAACAGCCTGCCTACACACAGCTCCAACCACAAAAAAAAAAAAAAAAACAAAAAAAAAAAAAAAAGCACACACACACACACACACACGTGAATAAGCCCCAAGACCTCATTCCCACACACAGCTTTGTTCATTAACGCAGTACAGTTTTAGCAGTGTCTTTGTATCCACTAATAAGGATTTTTATGTATTTGTCAAAATAGCTTTTTTTGAAATTTGGGGGCACGTCAGGTACGCCATATATAAGGCTGTAGTTGGGCTTTTTTGATCTGTACATGCTATTCTGATAAACTCATTTGCAATTTCATTTTACCTTCCCGGCTCCCATTATTTTTTCAGCAGCATAGACGGATTCACCACATCTAGGACACTTTTCAGCCCCTCCAAACTTTTGAGCAAACTTTGATGGATTCGAATTGGTACTTGGACGTGCATGCTGTGCTCTGTAATACAACGATAAAAGTATGTATGACCTTGCAGAAACATTTTAGAGAAACAAATAAAAGAGCATAGATAATTTTTAAATATAAAACTCTTCCATTTAGAATAGTCAGTGGGGTTTATATATTCAATATTTATCATCAAATTATAAGGCACAGTTCAAACCAATATATTCTAGAGTGACTTTTTTTTCTGTAAACTTTCATGCAATATTCCCCAATGTATCTTGGTAGGGCAGAAATACATGCCATTACATAATGAACAGAGCTGTAAATGCACCCCAAGTATAACCCTATAAAGATAGGCTAGGACAGAGGTGAACTTATAAGAATGGGAAAAGAGAGATAAACAGCTGTTTAAGTCTCTTTGCCCTACTTTTGGGACACCCCCCTCCCACTAGTACACCGACTTCTTGGAGTATATTGTAAATTCCACCATTACAATATATTCAGAGAAGAAGAAGAAGTTGGCACCACCAAGCCCTGGTTCACAATGATGCGATTTTCAGTGTGTTCCAGAACTCATGGAATCACGACATGTTAAATAACATGATTTTCTATTGAGGGCGTTCACATATATGCAGTGCGGTTTTAAAAAGTGTCCTGTGCGTATTTGGAGCAGTGTGGTGGGGGGGGCTGGGGGAGTTGAACGAAAGAGATAGAAAGGACAGGGGGGGGGGGAGAGAGAGAGAGGGGGAGGAGAGAGAGAGGAGAGGGGAGGAGAGAGAGAGAGAGAGAGAGGGGGGGGAGGGAGGGGGAGAGAGAGAGAGAGAGAGAGGGGGGGGGGGGGAGTGAGAGAGAGAGAGAGAGAGAGAGAGGGGGGGGAGGGGGGGGGGGGGAGGGAGAGAATCTAAAATCACAGCTGTATCCAAAATCGAATGAAAAATGCATTGCAATCTCAGCTGAGCTGTATCTGAATCCCACAAACGCATCATTGCGAACCAACTCCAAAATGTCAAAAAAGCAGTCTGAATTAGTGTTTATAAACAACACTGCTCCACACTGCCATTATACAAAGATACAATGTAATATATTGTTACGTTTGTATCTTTTTGTCAATTCATCTGCAGAACAAAGGGCTGACTTGGCAGATGATGCAAGTTTAAAGCTACCTGGCAAGTTAAAAGAAAAAAAAAATAAGTTTTTCAATAAAATATTCCTCTGTTTAACTCCTTATTAACCCTTAATTTACTCTAATCAGCCCTAATTAACTCCTTAGTCTCCTCTCCAATTATTCATTTTCCTGCTGATTTTGTTTTTTCTATTTTATTACTCATTTTTATTATTTCAAAAACGTAAAAAGGGCAGTTGGTGATGGAATATTCATGGAGTGGGTCCTCCACACTGTAATGTAAAGGAGCACTGTGATATAAAGGGGACTGAACTGTAAAAGGGCACTGTATTGTTTACAGTGCCCCTTTACAGCGCGGTCCCCTTTATATCATAGTTCCCCTTTACATTACAGTGCCCCTAGAAATCTAATCACAGTGCCCCCTATATATTCAATTAGACAGCCCGTCCTGCCCAGCACAGAGACAGCCCGTATTGCAAACAGACATCCCCGCCCAGCAAACAGACAGCCCAATCCACCACTGAGCTGTAACAGTGTGCAGGCAGGTGAAGGAGAGAGGCGGCCATTGTCCCTACAGTGCGGCTGTGTGCCTGGTTATGATTAAGCATGAGATCATGTGAAACGCGTTAACAGGTCCTGTATTCATGTCCTGGCATTTTGTGTGTCCTATGGATCAATAAATACACACTATATTCATCTATCCTCTGGTGTGCAGCTGACCCTTCTTCCTATTGCATCGTGTATGGTGGAGAGCCAGAGCCTGCACCTGTTGTGGATTGATCTGGATTGTTTGCCTGAGTATAACTGTTATTTGGATTCAGCTTCCTGCCTGTCGCTAGAGCCTTCACCGACGCTCCTCCTGTCAGCCCTGCTTTGGGCATAGCGGAAGGCTAACTGAGGCTGCGGTCTGCGTTAGCCCTGTCCAGGCTGTGGTTGCCACTTACCTCCTGCTGTGTGGCCTGGTCATCAACAGGCCGTTCTTCTTCAGCCCAGCGGCCCCGGCCCACCGGGCAAATGCCTGCTGTGCCCTATGGCCAGTCCGGGCCTGCCTGAGAGGCAAAAATTGCTCATTGCTCAAGGAACCCTTGGCAACCTCTGGAGGAACCCTAGTCCATAACATTGTGTGTGTCCCCTGCCGATTTTGAATGTTTGCCCACTCACAAAGAAATGATCAGTCTAAAAATCGAATGGTAGGTGTATTGTAACACAGAGACAGAA